AATGATTAGACGTCTTAAGTATTTCACTTCGCAATAAACACTGGGCACAAAATCATTCAACGTTCAATTGCCTCACAAAAAAATTAAAACTAATTAAGTGGATATGTTACGCGTTAGTTAATAACAGGCAAGGAACAAATTGTTTATCACGTGCAAATAAGAATCTCGTTTAAATTCAAACACGTTTTCAAAGAATTTATAAACGCAGACAGCATGAAATATCGGTGTTTACAAACCGATAACGAGGTGCGCGAGAGACTTACCTCCACGTGGTGCACCCTGGGCAACGTATACTTATACGGCAAAAAATGTCTTTTAACCGGAAGTTGACTTCTGTCTCCAACCTACCATCACCCCCATTGTGTGTCATATTCCATCACTTCCACAGTACTCACCTCACCTTTTCTCTGTCATTGTGTCTGTCTCTTTTACATCTATGAATCACTCTTCTGTTCCCCCTCTTCAATTTTTACGACTTTGAAGCTCGAAGTTAACTAAAGGGCTAATGATAACCATCATAAAGCTCATCAATTGATATAAATAAATAAACAAATCGATAGCTTCAGGTAATGCAACTTCGAAAAATGAGATATCAATGATCACTGTACATCCACAAACACACATGAGCTGTCCGAAAATTTCAATCAAACACTTAATCACTACGTCAATCCCACACTCTCCCAACCATCAATTATCTTCATCATCACCAAAAAATGCAGTCTTTTCGAGTGTGTCGCAAAACGAAACCGTTGGAATCAAGGAAATCAACGACATAGTGACTATTTATAATGAAGTGGCGGCGAGCTTACACGCTAGACAACAATTAAATTTCCCCCTATTTGCTAATCCTTCACATTTACAATACCCTCATGTGGGTAGACTAGCAATGAAGTACTACGAGGAGTTATTATTAACTCAAGCACTGAATTAATGTGAACGTACTCTCCCATGAAACCTTTGCTTGCCGACATCATGCTAGCAAGTTGTACCTCCTTAGCAATATCGCCGCCAATGTCATGGAGGACACGTTTAAAGGAATGGAATTGGCGATCGGGCGCGTAGATGTTGTGCTGGTAGACCTCATCGGCGAGAACCAGGAGGTTATGACGATGGGCGAAACGAAGTACTGATTCGATATTTTCACGAGTTAGTACTTGACCCGTGGGATTCCCAGGGTTGATTACCACCAAAACGCGAGGAGTACAGTGTCCCTTGGCCTCTTCTAAGCGCTTTTCTAGCTCCACCTCACTGAGGCTCCATCCAGTCTCCTCCTCCAAGTAGTAGCCAATCTAAACAGCAATATGCGTCCAGATATATATCATATGAACTTGTTAACAAATACAACTATCTCTTGAGTGTTTAAATAATCCTTAATAATTTTAACGGTTTATCTTATTTTATGTATTAAGTATGCATGTTCAGCTAAATTAAACCACGAGAGTGCTAACATAGGTTCGATTTTAACGGACATTTTATAAAATAGTGCTAAATTTACATCTCACAAAGAAACCACGCAAGTTGAGTAACGTTGGTGGCGAAGGAATAGTTAAATGACCATACTTTCTAACCATTTTTGTTTTATTAGGATGCGCAAATTGAAACATTTCAAACAAATGAGTATACCAATGAGTATGCCAATGCAAAAGTCTAAGACTGAAATTCTGCTCACGACCTTGAAGAGAACCGCAGATTCCGTTACCTCGGACAGCCTAAGTCATAATTAGTTACAATGCAGCCTGTAAACAAACACAAAAGGCAGCTTCCAATATCAATATATGTGTATCAACAGTTGACATGAAGTTGCAAAATGTGAAATATTTTCAAAAGCACTTATTCACCTTGATCTCTTTGTTTAAATCAATAAATATAAAATAGGGGGGAGGGGGAACTTGAAAATAATTAGGTGGGAAAAGGCACTTGAGTCTTCGAGAATTCCCTATCTCGATGCAATTCTTCATAAGATGCCTCATAAACCTTGTGAGACACGTTATCGCGTTGTTCGTCATCGTATGCCTGCATGTCTGCGACCGTACAAACAGTGACCAATCATTAACTTCTGTTTAACCTAATCATCCATCCTGATCATGAGTACCTCCCTGCGTGTATACTTGATCCGGAATGTACGTACTGAATAAACGTGCTCCGTGCTACACGTCTGTTCCCCTTTATAGCTGGGCTATAGCTTAGCTGGTTCCGGGAGTCTATCTAGATGTTGGAGAATCTGCCATAGAGATTTCTGAGTCGGTCAGGCTTTACTATCGTAGCAATCCGCTACAACCTCAAAAACACGTAGTTTCATGATTTTGGTTGGTAATAGCACCTTTTGATTTGCTTTGGAAGGGGAAAAAGTAATAATGTTAAGCATTGAGCACTTTGAGTTCACCTACAATTTCTCATAATACTTGTTTAATGCCGATATGTAACAACCTTGCGTTAGCCAATGAAGTATTTCCAAGAAACTAGGAAAGGTCAATTTGAAAGGTGACAACGGAAAAAAACGAAATGAGAGATTATGTTTACAATAACCTATCTAGTGCCATTGTGTTGGTTAATTATCGCAAATCAGCAAAAGAAGGGTATTTCAGCTTTTTAATAATTCTCAGAGGAAATTGAGATATTGAAACAAAGAGGAAGGAACAACTTGCACGTGGTTCCACATTGCAAGCACTTCCATTCTTAAAGGGGAGAGTTGCCAAATTTGTTCAAAATATAAATTGGAGGTATATCGTAATGCGGTGAGCTAATGAGTGAAAATTGAGAGGAAAATGGATCTCAAGATTTCATAATAACAGTGACTTTCGATTTGAGAGACCCATAGCCTTGTTCCCAGGAAATTGGGATGAATAAAAGGGAGAGAAAGAGACCATGCAAGTTAATTAGACACTTTAACTATTTAATTATGACTTCAAGATATAAAAAAAAACGGACAAACAATATAAACATAGAGGTGATAAAGTGGTATCAGATTATAATAAAGATATTTTCTCATGGGGCGGAGAGAATATGTAATAAATACTAGCATTAATTACCACCTCCTCCTTAACATTGTCCAAATCATTTCCTCCCCTAAATAAATCAATAACCATATTTCTCAGTACACATTATTTTACTTTCAATGAAACTTAATGAATAATAATTGAGACTTAGTGAAGTTCAGCACTCCCATTGCCAATTAATGGGAATTTGGGATTATGAACACCATTTCCTCAACTGGCTAATAAAAGGAGAAATCGAACAAACGCATAACTGCTGAATTAACTCCTTAGACATCAGTCTTCAGGCAATAATTTCAACCAGTGCTGGTGTTTTGTTATTAATCAGTAATGCCGAAATAGAAGACAAAACAGAGCTCTAAATTGTAATCTGAAAGAGGGAAACATCTTAAGAGAAAAGAATTAACTTTCAAAGGAAGAACAAACAGTCAATCGTCAGATTAGACTGACGCATTAGAAAGAAGCAAATAACAAAGGCACGTTTAGCCAGTTTTAGTCATATATATATATCTTTTTCAAAACTACTGATTATACCTTAATAAAGACAAGTGGGAATAATTTCGATGAAAATTACTAGACATTTGAACCAAATGACTGACAGAGAAAAAAATTGATAATTCCCAAGTCAACAGTCACATACGCCAAGAGTTGAACGATGAAAACGAGCAAAGTCTATTTAAGGGACATAATTTTGTTTATGCGTGATTGTGAAAAATGACTTCTTAGGCTCCCACCCCCCTAATTAGAAATATGTATACAAGCGCACAGAGTTAGACAGACCAAATGGGTGCTGCTTTAACTGTGCGACCATTATCTGGGGCACTGTAGCTATTTTGACCCACCGACAGATGAGGACTTAAAACCCATCCAGAATTTGGGATAGGTAATGCAAGTCTAAAGCACTAGATGGAAACAATAGGGAGAAAAATAAAATAATAATTTGTATAATTCAATTGAAAGATGCAAATATCTATATATATGCAATATTAGTGAGCAACTATTTTGTGATATGTGGAAAGTAAGACACTGATTCGATAGACAACCATTACACTCCACGTATTACTAACAGGTCATAATAAATCCTCAAGCATAAGTCAAAATAGAGCTAATAAATCAATAATTTTAATGTACTTCTAAAAAATCAATAATATAAAGGAATATTTTATGGAAATGAAGGAGAAATCATATTGGAATTCTGGCTTAAGTAGGCCAAATGTGAACTACAATAGGTGTTTTTCCAATCACAATATACGCAAGCTTATTGGCCCGAATTAGGCAATTGACCAGTCCACTCAAACGACTTAAAAGAAAATAACTTACTCAATTTCAAAAGTTAGGCAAGCATAATACTTTTAACAAAAAAATGTTTAAATTTAAAGAGACGATGAAAAGGAGAACGAGGTCAAATAAAAGTCCTCACCTCCATGCATAAATTTATACATGAAGTCCACTAAAATGTATTTCACCAATTTTTGATACTAGCGAATAAGTTTTTTGAAAATATCGACATATTAAATCTGGAATCTAGAAGCCGGGAAATAAGACTGATAACAAATATAATTGAACGAACCTGATAATTATTGTATTCGCTAATTGTAGCAGAATATAAAGGATACTGAGGAATCGGAATCATTATTCCAGCACGTTGCGAACCCTCCTTTGTAGTAGATACTAATTCTAGAATGAACTAAAAAGAATATGTTTTCAAAAGACATCAGAAGGCATTCATTTACTAAATATGGCAAGAATATCTACTTTAACAGCTTCAGAAGCACCAGATGCCAAGAAAATATCTTCAGAATTTGAAGGAATTCCATCTCTCTGTTCTATATAGTCTGCAATATCTTGGCGAACAACTTCAACACCAACCGATTGACTGTAACAACCTAATTAAACAATAGAAGACAAAACTATCATTTCATCACATCGTATTATAATTACACTTAAACTTTACTAACCAACACTGCCTCCGACGCTATTCAAGAAACGTATAGCTCGTGATTTAGCATCCTCTGGAATTACAGAAGAATCCATAAGTTCGGTGTCACAGGCAACCGCAATTACTTGACGAATAAACGATATTGGCAATTGGCCAGCATTTTGACAATCACCAATATTGCATTTAATAATGCTATCAAATGGTTTTTTCTCGCCCTATAAAATATGCAACAAATCGGTACACTTTGATTTACTCTCAAAAGGCCTTTCTCGATATCGTTTGCGCGCTGAACAATAGGACCTCGAACAGCGTATTCTAATTTATGCATATTAGGATTAATTTCTGCTGTAGAAATTTTCGTGTAGCCTCGTAAGATTAGAGGCGTCAAAGGAAATGTCCGCTCAAAGACACGTGTAACATTCATTTTCAGCCCTCAGACTTTCGTAAATTAACCGCAACTCTAGCGGTTGATGATGTCGTGTGGTAGTGAGACAAAACAAAGTTTTGTTCCACCTTTTGTAAATGGTAAAATAAATCAGACAAATTAAATTAAAATTTTTGATTTTTAAGCAGCATATTTATTTTTTTTGCTTTTTAATTCAATGTAAATGGATTGCAAATGATAGCGAATATTACGAACTTTAATTGGAGTATTAGAAATAATAAAATTACCTTATTTTTCCTAATTACTACAGAATCACTTTGAACACTTACTGAAAATAAGTTCACTTTAACAATTGACGGAAATTCTTATCGTTAGCTCGATACCAATTTAACAAATTTAATAATTCTCTTTCGTTTCTGATATTGGGCACAATATTTTCTCATGCTAGAGAGCCGAAAAAAATCATTAAATCAATATAGCAGCAATGATACTTTACTATTTTGTGATAAAGTTCAGATTATATCATGCCAATGACTTTAACATCTCAAGAATATAAATTACAATACAGAAACTGGAAGATTGTACGAAGTTACAATTTTCTTGTATTACAACTCTTGGGGTTTTTTCGTAGGAGTCATAAAATAGTTACATTGAATCAATGGCCGTTAATAGTAGTTCTTCCTTTACCAATCCCCTTTGAGTTAGGGAAATATGCTTTAATGCTAAATTTAAATCTAATTTATCAGAGGTTACAAGCACTCATATTCATGTCAAATCACATTGGCATTGTACTTAATTTGTGCTTTCTTCAGCTAACTTCTATGTCAAAAGTAGAAAGTAGCAAACCTTAAAATGTGTAATGATAAGTCAATCATCCACCAGTTACTGCTAATTGACAATTGGCCAAAAATCAAAATAGGCTATAAAGGAAAAGTGTAGAAGATTTCTTTAGATGAACATCTTCTAAAAAGCTTGTTGCTTTAGAAATGAATGGCAAATATTTCATTCTTTGTAGAATCGCTATGAGTATGCACATTTGCATTCTCTAATATAATGCTTAAAAGATGGCTTTCTTTAAAATTTGCAATCGCATTATTTAACCATTTATAAATGTTATTCCAATCAACATAACAATAAAATTACACAAGTTACATATAATTGCTGATATAATTAAATAAAAATAAATAGAATCCCCTATTTGCTCAAATCTCTTCAATTAAAAAACTGTTTGGCTTAGGATGTGTGATCTGAACGGAAGTATTAATTCATATCATATAAATAAGACAATTAAATATAAGAATTACACTAGTTCATATAAAGCATGCAAAATGAATGTAAGGATCATATATCAAAGGTATAAGTTGTTTGAGAGGGTGGTCAATTTGTATAGACACATAAACTTCTACTTAGAGCAATAGTGATATTTTTTCCATATGGTTCATTCTTGCCCAATTCGGCCTCCCCACTGATTCGCTTCTATTTGGTCCATCAAAGTTCCGAGCCTACCTCTAACGGACTTGTGGATTACAGGAACATATATCAGGGCTTACGGTTACGTTTCGATGGTTAGGTCTTTCGAGGTCAATTATATGTGTCGAAATAGATGAAAGCAGTTTAACGATTTAGAATCCAATCATAGTGAACTGAATTAGTTTAGGGGAAAATAGGATATTTCACAATATCCTATATCTGTCTGAAAGCTTTAGGACAAGGGAATATGTTTCATTTACAAATGCATGTGATCGATCATATCGTTAATATCAGGTGCGAATGAACATTACGGATGAATCGCATTAAGGTCAAAATTATCAAGGGTAAACTAATCGTAATACTACAATGAATTATGCAGTCTTAGGATAAGAAATCCATAGTCTCCATGTGCAAAGCTTTGCTCGCTGAATTACAAATGATTACTGGAATTGGTTTTAATTTGTTATGTGCGAATGCCTGATCAATTTTTTGCCACCCAACTGGACGGTTCAAACTGCCTAAGAAGGATAAATTTATTTATCTAGAATGACTTTAGTTTCTAAATTACTGAAGGTGATCTAAACCATAATGCATTTGCCAATCATTGATTATGCTAAAACACAGCATGTCTTTCCAAAATTGAATTTTAACACCCTCGTAGTCGATTTTGGCGAACCAGTTTGTCGGAAGCATCAAAATTTTATTAACTTTTATCCGTAATGAAAACAGAGTCTATGCACATTCTCTTTTTCAAAATAGTCTAACCTATTTGTTGGTGATGTGCTGAATGGCATGGTAGAACTGTAACTTCTACTTAAACAATTTCAGTAGCAAATACAATTTTAATTTGCAAACTGGTGACGTCATACCAAATTTGTTAATTGTCCGACAACAATCAATAATAATATTTTCACTCAATGGGATTATTGCGATATGTGAATATATATTGAGAACGATCCGATCAACAACAATTCAAAATACTAACATTTAAGAGATCTTAGAATTCAAATTTTGTCAAATATATTATTCATCAATTTCATTTGTAATATTTCAGTGGTCATTAATTCTATTCTTAGAACGTAGTCCACATTGTTAAATTTAATTATTCTCCTCAATATATTGATTTATTTAACAAACTACGCCACCTGGTTAATCAGCATACCAAGGCTGACTCAAGCGTCCCAAGCATGTCTGGAAAAGGAGTAAAACGCACCTGGTTCAAGGTTATCATGTAGCATTTTGTTGGCACCATATTTTTAAAAGTCTCAGCGTGTGCAAAAATTTCCAGGGTTCCTATTTACCCTACTGACAAGAATGATGAAACGTTTCATGTTGGTTTGGGCGTGCCAATAGCGCGAACAATCGGAGAGCAAATAAATTCAGGTTGAATTATTTAAACAAAAAAGGCACATATTACGCATTCAACGTCACTACGACTGTTCCACGTTTTAAGTCTACAAGCAACTAACTAATTCTTCTAACCGGATTTATTTATTTATTAATTTATTTCAAATGTCGGGCTTTATGATACTTATCATTGGCCCTTTAGCTGACTTCGGGCTTCACAGAGGGAAGGAGGAACATCAAAATGAGATAAAGTGGAGAGGGGGACAGAAGAGTGATCCACAGATGAAAAGAGACAGACAGACAGACATAAAGGCGGAGAAAAGGTAGGATAAGTATGGTGGAAGTGATCGAATAAGACATACAGTAGGGTCATGGCAGTTTGAAGTCAGAAGTCAACTGCCAGTTTACAGTTTGAAGTCAGAAGTCAACTGCCAGTTAATCGACTTTTTTGCCGTATGAATATACGTTGGCCTGGATGCACCACGTGGAGGTAAGTCTATCCCACACCCTCTATCTGGAATTATAAAATCCGCCTTAAAGATTAACAGGAACTAACATCATTGAGAGTGTTGAGTTAACGTGGACACTATTTGTACAAGTCTTCGAGTTCAGCCTTCCTTGTTGTATTGCAAGCAACTCAAAACAGATTTGAGTAAGGTGACCCGAGTATCCCCTCAAATACGCTTACTCGGGTTTGATATTAATTATTAAAAAATGAACATGGAAGTTGAATTTTCACTATATATATGAAAACGATTTAATAGTTGTAATTTAAAGTACAACTATTAAAACTAATCGATGTGATTAATTTGGTTACAATCTCAGTATAACATTTATATACAAGAACCTTACTTGACTGAAAGTACATTTGTCTAAACACCAAAAGTGGTTCAGTAGACTTAGAAATGGCAAAGAAGTGAACTTCCTTGCAGCTGAGCGCATTTTAAGGCTTACATATTAAAAAAACAACAATTATTTATTTATTTCAAATGGCAGGCGTTTTGATAGATATCATTTGCCATTTAGCTGACTTCGGGTTTCACAGAGAGGAGAAGGTTCCTCAGAGTAGCAGAAAGTCGAGATATGGGGAAGAGAAGAGCGATTCACAGATTTAAAAGAGGCAAACAGACACAAAGGTAGAGAAAAAGGTAAGATGAGCACTGTGAAAGTAGTCAAATATGACATACAGCGGGGTGATGGTAGTTTGAAGTGAGAAGTCAACTGCCGAGTGATAGACTTTTTGGCCGTATGAGCATACGTTGCCCAGGGTGCACCACGTGGAGGTCCGTCTATCGCACACCCCATAAAAAACAATAATAAAAGAGTTTATTTCGTGGGAGTGTTTGGTTTTGGAAAAATTGCGCGCTTTAAATACTGCTAACCAGATTTCCATTAACCTTACTTACTTAGTGAAATGCTGGCCTATCGACTTGTCCGTCAAACTCAAAACTGTCCAATTTAAAAAAAAACATTCTTAGGTATTTGTCAGCTTAAAAAATACTTAAAACTGGTCCTCTTAAAACCTTATCGATCAAATGTTGATGTCAAGGTCTATTGTCACTTTCTGCAAGCTATTTTTATATACCCACGCCTGGTCTTAT